AACAGGCTCTCTATTTATGCATGCCATGCCTGTGTACATAAGAAAAGAAAAAAACGCTCATTGGTCTCCGTAACGTTCCAATCGTCCCTATTCCTAGCGGACGAGTTCCAATTTCTAACGGACGAGTTCCAATTACTAACGGACGAGTCCCAATTCCTAACGGACAAGTTCCAATTTCTAACGGATGCGTCCCAGTTCCTCACGGACGAGTTCCAATTTTAAACGGATCCGTTCCAATTTTCAAATGCATGCGTTCCAAATTACAGTATTAATGGATGCTCCTAGGAGCCAAAGCTGGTTTTGTTCTCAAAAAAAAAAAAAAAAAGGATGCATTCCAATTCTTTAACGGACGCTCCAAAGGACGGTTCCTACAGTCTTCCAACGCACGGTCATTATTGCCGAATTTGGTGCATCTTTCGGTCTAAATTCAGCTATAATGACCGTACGTTGTATTCGGGGGAAGACTGTATCTTTTGGCAACAGCCGAGAGAACGTCTCCAAGTCACCCGACAGAGCAATCCAAGGATACCACCACTCTCAACAAATTCACGACTTTTGACCGAGTGCACAGATCAGCGGTCGGAACATCGGGGTCCAAGGACGCCGTCGCTCTCAAAGATTTACTTTGTTTTGACCGTCGATCGCACAGATCAACGGCTGGAACATGGGTGTTTTTTTATCACCAGCACTAGCAATACACATCGGACGCTACAGATTCCTCGACGTCACTGCGCCCAAGTTCTTCCCCCCCCCCACTTATCTATACAACGACTTCGTCCGTAAAAATGGTCCATTTACATGAAGCCGGTTAACCTTCATCATGCCATCTCAATCGCGACCGACCTTCGATCGGAATGCAGGTCTCGTACCACATCATACGACGAGATAGTCGCTCTACCAATTGACCAAAAATTCCAAAATTCAAGTCACTCCATCCAGCAAATCACGGCAACGAGTACGTGTGTGCTGGTCGAGCGGCACCCGCTTATGAGTATCGCTCGAGAAGATGAACATAGAGACAATCAAACCCTGTCAAGCGCTGCTTCCGCCTTTCCTCTGACAAAATACCAGTTATTAGACCTCCCCAAAAGTGTGAAATTGCAAGCATAACCTCAGTGTTATTAGACCTCCCCAAATGTGTTGAATTGCAAGCATAACCTCAGTTGAAAGGTCGAAAGGTACAAAGTTTGTTTCTTCCATATTTGGCGCGTGGTGGAGCTAGGCCCGTTATCTCCTAAACATGCATAACCGTGGATCGTACTACTCTTTTTTTGTGAATCAGGAACGAGTTCGCTTGCATCCACGAACCAACGAACCAATCAGCCAATCAGCCAATCAACCAGGCATTCAACCAGTCCATCAAAACAACCCAATCAATCAAACAACCAATCAGCCGATCATCCAGTACATGACATGTACACAAAACATTTGAAACGATGTCAGATGACATCCTCTCTCTCTCTCTCTCTCTCTCTCTCTCTCTCTCTCTCTCTCTCTCTCTCTCTCTCTCTCTCTCTCTCTCTCTCTCTCTCTCAC